AAGTCTCGCAGGACAGGAGAGACCTCACTACTTTTCTTTTAATCCGTTTAAGACTTGAGTTAGAGCTAAACCACTTGTCCAGCTGCTGTGTCAGAGTCCTGTTCTGTGGCATTTCATGTTCTCAGTTTCTTCTTGCATTGTGGAGCGGGCAGCAAGCCTGGCTTTGCCGTGCAGTGAACTGTCAGCGTGAGTCACCATGGGCAGGGCACTGCAACAACCACAAAGCCCCAGATGGAGGCCAAGGGTACCTTTGTGTTTGTTTCCTCACCAAGAGAGGGATCCCCCAAGCAGCTCCTGGGCAGAGGCTGCAGGTGGGGCCAGCAGCCCCACAAGAGCTCAGTCCCTGTGAGAGAATCACCAACCTGCTGCTTTCCCCGGGGTTTGAGACATGGCTACTTGGTGGTTTGGCACAGCAAACCCAAGGCCTGGTTTGGAGCATCCATTGGGATCAGCCTTTGCCAGGGAAGCAGTGGGGTGCTGTGCATGAGCCCCTGGCTGAGCTATGGGGTTGTTGGGGCACAGACTCCTTTCTCCTCTGGAGTTTAGGGCAAAAAGTCTGTGGGTGAAGCCCTTGGACATTTTCCTCCAAGTCAGGTTTTATGTCAGCTTGACAGTCCATAAAGAACATAGTGAAATAATTTCTTCTGCCACTATCCCCAAGACTGTTGGGGAAGACAAAACAAGTTCTTCCCTTAAACAGCAGCCATCCACCCCCACCTGCCCCTTTCCAAAGCCTGCTCTGTTCTCCCCTAGTCCTTCCTGCTTCAAAGCTTTTACTGTAGCCACGTTTGGGTGAGGGGATACAGAGCTGACTTATCAGTCAGAGGAGGAAATAAACCATTGAGGACTCTCAAATCTGCTTTCAAGCGTTGGGAAACCTGACAACATGGATAGGGAATATATTTCCTGCACCCTGACCTTGTCAGCCACCTTCTGCTGTTTCTTTGTCAGACATGTGAATATGGGAGGCTCCAGCAAATTCTCTCTGGAACATCTTCTTAGCTTTAATATCTCTAATCATTATTGCCTTGGTTTGGTTTTTTTTCACCTTTCAAGGTCTTTTCTTATCCCTATTTTCTTGAGTTTTTTATTGCATACAGTATGAGAAAGAAAACCAGCATCAAAGGCAGCTGTCTGCAGTACTGACCCATCAAGTTACTTTCCAGTGACATGAAAAGGCTTGTAATAAGGAGCACATCTAGGGAAAAGTATAGCAAAGTAAGTTCCTTTCAATGCTATTCTCTTTATTGTCCAAATATATCTTGCAAGAGACAAAGAGAGATTAAATAAGAACAGTGAAGAATTACGAGAACAATGAATGAGCAATGAATTACGAACATGAAATAAGAACAGTGAGTAAAGAACAATGAAATAAGAATAGGAAGTTAGAACAAGAAACTATTTAGAACATTAATACAGAACATGAATGAAATATGAAGAACATTAATTAAACTGTCTTGTCTGCCTTCTTGAATTTTTTCATTGGAGGCTCCATTCCAGCTGGAGACCTTGGCTGTGTTCTTATGGGTGAAAGAAGAACATGATGAAGTTAATTCCAAACAGTTCCTCTCCCCACTTGTTTTCCTGTGAAATTTGCTTTATGTGTTTTCTTTCCTCTCCATATGCTCATGTGAAAGCATCTCTCAGCTGCTGCCCATGGAAGAACTTGGTGCCATGGAGAAGTTCCTGCTGCCAGGGCAGAAGAGCAGCTGCTGTGTGAGTGCAAAAGCATCCAGGAGGGTCCATCTCTCTCCACTCTCATGTGCCCAATGAACTCCCAGAGCTATGAATGGATTTTGGAGACCCTGCATTGCTGCCTTAGGACAATGGATTTGTGCTGTTATTGTCCTGCAGTTGTTACTTCCTTGCTTACATAATCTGGGGTTTTTGGGTGACCTCTGGGATGGATCAGCTACAGAGGCAACACTCCCTGCCCCAAAGGACAGGTGGTGGCCAGTGTGGTGGCTTTGCCACTCAGACATTTCCCCATGGCTTCTTTGGTCACTTTTGGTCAGTGCAATTAAATCCATGCTTACAAATTAATAATTGGGATGGCATATTTCCCAGTGGGAGTAAGCATTGCTCCCTTTGTGTTGGGGTCCTTCACCTCCACCATAAAACTCATGGGAATTCCTGAGCTCCTTTTAAGCCTGGGAACAGGGCTGGTAGATGATGATGGAACAGGACCCAAGGGTGGCTTCAGGTCACTGCAAGGTTTTGGGGGTAAAAAAAGAGGAAGGTAGGAATGTGTGTCCCTTGTCAGAACAGATCCCTTGTCAGAGATAAATGTGATTATTCCATGTTCTTCCAAGACCAGCTCTGACCTTGCCAACACTTACTTGAGGGGCTCATAGTAACGGCAGGACTGGATCATCATGGCTTTGATCTTGTCGTCCTCTGCAGCATTGGCCTCAGCCAGATTTGGGGTCTGTGTGACAGGGGAGGGTTGGACACACACGTGAAGAACACGTTTGAGCCTCCACAGCCAAACAGCCTCCACGCAGCCTAGGAGAGATCAGCCTCTGGAGGTTTTGCTTTCACAGATATTCCTTCACAAAAGCAGCCAAGTCAGAGATTTAATAAATGGGTGTTCCATTGGCACAGTGTTTTTCTGTGCAGGAACATGATCCAGATCCACCTCTCTGGAATCATTTCCATCAACATTTACAGAGAAATTTACAGACACTTCACCAATGTATTTGAACCCAAATGATTTACAAAACACAACCAAACCCCACCAAAACATGCCTGGGAATAGACCCAGATTCAAATATGGCACTTTTTACAAAGTAATGATGATACCAAAATAATTTACACTGTCTGCAATCAAACAAAGGAGATTGTGTTATCCACTGTCCCCAGACCCCAATTTGTGAACAAGTGCAGCAATCAAAGAATAGATCTGTAGCTGTCATGGACAAAAATTCAAAACTCAAGCCTCACAAGTGTTCTTGTTCCAGAAATGTTTGTTTTGGCTGCTGCAAAGCTCCCTGAAATGTCCACAACTTACAGCCAGTTCAGTTCTTCTGTATACATTTGTACAACACAAACTGTTAGTTTCCAGTGCAAAACTGATGATACAAATGGGAAACAGGTGCTGAAGTGCTGCTGCTTTGGCTCTTGAAAAGAAATAATGCTGCAAGATTATGTTGGGGCTGATAAGGTGCTCTCCTTTCCTCTTCCCAACCTGGGAACTTCTCTTTCTGGGATAGCATCACAACATACATGCATTTTAAACTTACAATAAACACCTTAAGTTACTACAAATACAGTTTTGATCACATTACCACAATTATCCAGCTGTAGGTCACAGTATAAGATTATAAATCCTATAAAATGATTTTTTATCAAGTATTTGACAAACAATATCTCTATACCTTAATGAGCTGGGCCAGAGTAAGAGGGGCAGAAGAGTCAGAAATCTGTTCACAAAATAATTAAACCATATTCAGGTTCAATCTCCAGAAAATTAATGCAAGGCTGCACTGTTTAGCATGGAGTGCAGTGTGTAGGAAGTGTGAGGCTGGGGTTTTACGTACTGCCTTAGATGTTCCCCTCACTGGCTCCTTTTGGTTCCTGGCAGAAGAAACAGAGGTGATCAGAACTCAAAATGAAGCATTTGGACCCAGAATCAAGCAGTGAAAACCAACAAGAACACCTGAACCTCAGACCATTATGTTCTCATAGTTGAGTGAATGTGGGAGTTTATTTGTCTTCATAAACTCTTCTCTCTTGGCACCTCCAATGCCACTAAAGCCCCCAAAATCTCATTTCTGTTGCCACCAGTTACACAGGAGTGTAGTTTCTTGGCCAGAACAGTGACAGTGTCAATGCTCAGGAGTGCAGGTTTCTTTCTGTGAAAAATGATCCCTCCTGTGCCAAAGCAATACCAGAACTGCCAGCAGCTCCATCTCCAGATTGGTGTTTCTCTGTCGGAGCCCTGCTCACATCTCTGCCATCCTTAAGGGCCAAAGTGCCCAGTGTGTTACAGATGCTACAGTGCCTACAAATGCTGGTAGAAAGGTCACCTGGAAGCCTTTCCTAGGGGTTGGTGCAATTTAGGAGCTCTGTAGGGAGAAAAAAAAGAGTCTTAATTGGCAGAATTTCCTTTCGGGTGATCTTGAAAATGCAACAATATTTTGGGAGCTGTTTATTACACTTGCAGACTTGCTGGGATTCCACACACTCAGTGATCTGTGTCTGATTCAGGTGCTGAGGAATCAGACACACAACCCCTGTGAGAGCAGATCCTCATCCCTCCCACTCATCAGCCTCTCTGCCAGGTATTTCTGCTGTGTTTCCAGCTGCAGGGACAGAAAGCTCCTCTGCCTGGGAGCTGCCATCCCTGCAGCTGCACAGCCATTGCCATCTCACACAGGAGCTGATGGGATCTGAGCACTGCCAGCATCCACCCTCCCCCTGCAGGCAGCACCACACCAGGGGAGAGCCATGCAGCCCAAAGGGAGGATGCTGTGACAGGCCAGCATGAACCATCCATATTTGCATTAACCCCAAACCAAAGCCAACACTGAGGCATCCAGAATTCTTCATCTCTCCTCTACAGACATTGTGTAAAAGCCCCAAATTTGGGGTGCAAGATACCTTCCAGATACCCCACAGTCCCCAAACCCACTTTCCCCAGTGCAAGAAATAGTCAAATACTGACAAAGAGACTCTTCTCTGATGGGAGCACATTAAAAGTTTATTTCTAATAATATGTAATTGTTACAGTGTGTAGCTGTCATTTCTACAAAGCCACTAAAAGCAAACACAATCTGCAATCTCCTCATGCAGAGGAAACAGGATCTGTGACTTGGCTCTCAGCCCAATCATCCCAAGAACAAAACCAAGAATCACCATAGGATTTACCAGTGTTGGAGTTTGAACCCCACATCCCCACAAACCTAACAGGGGGAGTCTGCTTTGGAGCAGATAAATTTAAATCTACCCCATGAAAAAGGAAATTAAGAGTAGCTTTGACCAGATGCAGTCCAAGTGCCTCTGCAAACCCATATCCAGAAAAGAAAAGAAGTTCACACCCTGACATCCCTCCCAGGGAATCCAGAGCTTCATGGATACTCACGTGGCTCGAGCTGGGACCCTCTTCACAATCACTGAGATGTTCTTTGGGATCTGTGCATCATCAGAGTATTCTGAGAACAGCACAAATGCAGAACAAGTGTGAGTTAGTTGGGAGGAATGGATATGGACATGGAATTAGATGGCACATCACAGAATCCCTTCAGAGCTGTAAAAGCCAGTTTTATAAGCACCACTGTGCTTTCCCAGCCTGGCTTTTGTCCCCAGGGCAGAGCAGGGCTCCCACAGCCTGTGGCACTGCTGATCTGTGCCACTGCCCCTGGGTGTGGTGGTGTTTGAGGGTCCCCAGGGTGAGAGAACAGATGGGAATCTTGACTCCATGCTTCAGAAGGGTGATTTATTATTGTATGATCTAGATTATATTAAAATAAAATTATATACTAAAACTATACTAAAGAATAGAAAGTATTTCACCAGAAGGCTAGAAAAGGAATGAATAATAAAATCTTGTGACTGACCAGAGTCCCAGCACAGCTGGACCTGTGATTGGCCATCAAGCAGAAACAATTCACATGGAACCAATCAATGATGCACCTATTGGTAAGAAACCTCCAAACCACATTTCAAGCAATCAGATAATCAATGTTTACATTTCATTTCTGAGGCCCCTCAGCTTCTCAGGAGAACAATCCTAGCGAAAGGATTTTCATAGAATATATCAGTGACAACTGGGTGGCCCCGGGCCCCACTCACCCTCACTGGTCTCAGCTTTGAGGATCTGCAGGTCACAGTTGGCCACCTTGAGCTTGTCTCGGGCCATGATCTGGCACTTGAGGTCAGCCAGGGAGATGCTGTGGCCATGAAACGTGACCACATCATAGCCCAGCTTGGAGGAGAACTTGTAGTGCACACCCGACATGGCCCCGAGCCCGCCCTGGCTCAGCACTCGCTGCTCCCAGCCTGAGCTGCCCAGGGGGGCTCGGGCACCTCTGCTGGGCACTGCCAGGGCAGCCAGGACAGACACACAGTCCTGGGCACCACCCAGAGCATTGTGACCTCGTGGCGTGCTGCTGAGGAGCCATGGAACCCCAGAGCTCTGCTCAAAGCACCCTCATTGTCCTCAGCCCACAGAGGGCAGCACAGAGCACCAGGGTGGGGGCACTGAGGAAGGCTCCATGTCTTCCTCTGTCACCCTGTCCTTCTAAGCCTTCTGATGCTTACATTTTTGTGATGGTATTTTGTGATGGTGCTTGAGGGTCCCCAGGATGAGGGAAGAGATGGGAATCTTGCCCCCATGTTTCAGAAGGCTGATTTATTATTGTTTGATCTATATTATATTAAAAGAAAATGATATACTAAAACTATACTAAGGAAAAGAGAAAGGAGACATCAGAAAGCTAGAAAAGAATGAATAATAAAATCCTGTGACTGGACCATGATTGGTCATGAAGTAAAAACAATCCGTGTGAGACCAATGCACCTGTTGGGAAACCATCTCCAGACCACATTCACAGCCATCAGATAGTTATTGTTTACATTTCTTTTCTGAGGCTTCTCAGCTTCTCGGGAGAAAAATCCTAGCAAAAGGATTTTCATAAAATATGTCAGTGACAGTGTTTCTCACACACATTTCATGTAAATAATGATTGTTTTACATTCCTTTCTGGAGGAGGAGAGAATTGACAAACTGTTATTTTAACTAGTGTGGTTGGAGAGGTGGCAATTTCATCCTCCAATCCATGGTCACTTTTAGAATTCTATAAATATCAAAATCCAGAAATAAATGCACCTTTTTTGCCTTGGACGTCTCAGTGTGTATCGTTCATTTTCTGTTTTATTGTGACATTCCTCAATGGTTCTGTCTGATGAAGGCTGGACGTCTTCATCACTGTGCCCTTTTCACCTCTCTCCTCCAGGCATGTTCAGCCTCTTGTTGGCTCTTTCAGTGATTTTCTCACTGGTTTCAGCAAACTTTGTTCTTCATTTCTGCAAGTTCTGCTCCTTATTTCTTGCCAAGTTTCATGCTGGGTCTCTAGCTTGTGACTGAAATTTGGTAGCTCTTGTATTGGTTACCAGGTATCTTTTGGTTTCCTAAGTATGCTTTGTGCTAAATTTTGGTAGCTCCTCTATTTGTTACCAGGTATTTTATGCTTTCCCCAGTATGCCTAGGCACAGTGCTTTTAACCCTTTTGGTGCCAAGACCCTGCACAGGGTCAGGGAGCTGCTGGAGACACAAGAGTGTCTTACCCACCTTGAAAAGAAAAATAAAAATTTGGGATATCAGGGATATCTGCACAGCCTCTGTGACAGCTCTGGGATAAGGCTTCATGGACAGGTTTCATGGTATTGTCATCAGGCACCTCTAATTTTCTTGGGGCTTTGCTCTGGAATAAAACCAGCACTGCAAACTTCAGCTGCTCTTGAAAATAATTTAAAACTTTCAGGTAATCTTATTAGGGGAGAATTTTAAATCCAGGAAAAGCAGGAGCCAGGAAGCAAGGGGAAAATCATTCCAGTTTTCCCTGTATCTTAAGCACTTTTCTATAAAGGAACTACAGCTCCTGCATGCAGGAAAACATGGCAGGAGGAGATGGATGTTCCCTTGCTGTATGGGCAGTGCTGAGCCAGGGCCACAGGCAGTTAAGGAAATTCCTAATTGAGATGTTCTACCATGAAAAAAACACCAAGCCCTGGCATAAATCCACCCAGTCCTACCTCAGGAGGACTCTGTGATGCTCAGAGCATCCACATGGACATGGTGGGAACAAGGGACAAGAGAGGCAGGGGTGTGGCTGCTCCTCCTGGAGTGATTCAGTGCCATCCCCATCTCCATGTGCTCTGGAGGGCTGTGGGGGATGGCCTGGAAGGAATGAGGATGACCCAGTCACAGTCTGTGCTCAAACACTCACGGATCAGTGCTGGGGTGCAGGGAGGTGGGTCTGGCACAGCACCCTGCAACGCTCCTCACCCCAGGGCATTGTGGAAATGTCAGTGAGGGGCTAGGAAGACAATCCGATGGAAAATAACCATGGATTGATAAACAGCACAACCACTCTGAGGCTTGGGAGACACTCTATGGCAGGAGCTGCCAGCCAGGGGATGGTGCTGGGCCTCCTGTCCCCACCTCAGGCATGAGCAAACACTGTTCTGCTCCAGCTCAGCTCCTCCCCACACAGCTCTGCAGCCTCCCAGCCACTGCAGAGCCCAAACACAGACGGCTCCAGGTCACTGCTGGGGCCCAGGGCAGGGGGAGCAGTGCCACAGCCCCGTGGCCCCAGCCCCTTCCAGCTCAGGACCCTTTGTGCCCTGCAGAACACCCTGAATACGCCCCAGGATGCCCAAGTTCAGCCACAGAGTTTATTGTTCAGTAGGAGCTCACCACACCAGCAAGCCAGGACAAGGGGGATGGTACATGAATACAGATGTGGAGGAGTTACACAGACAGATTTGTACAGCTTTTGTACAGAGGAAGAAAATGAATCAAATAACAAAATAGACATTTGCAGTCAAACATTTTTTTGTCTTTTTTTTTGTATCATACTAACAAAATCTGATAGCCAAAAAATGACTAAGCTACAAAATTGTAATACATACTGTATGGGTAAAAGGTTATCATCCATTTATACATCTAGTATCATCTTTTTTTCTGGTAACTTACAGGAGGCCTATAGGATCTTAGTGTATTAATAACTTCCTACAGATAGTGCTGAGCTGCTAAAGCTGCTGAATAATGGAGTATTGGAATTTTCATTAAGACTTTTACAGTTCCATTTGCATTGTTCTGTTTAATGAAACCCTTATGCATCTCTACTGCAAGTCAGAGGAGCTGCTGGTGGCTGGGGGGGAGGCAGGAGCTTTATGGCCTTGGCTGGCAGCTTGGCACCTGGCATTGCAGAGCTGCAACACCCAGGCAGTTTGGTACCATCACTGCAGAGCTGTGACACCCAGCTGGCACTTTGGTACCATCACTGCAGAGCTGTGACACCCAGGTAGTTTGGTGCCATAATTCCACAGGACACAGCACAGTGCTGCTCCAGCTCTCTGGATGCTGCAGGGGGGAAAAAGCTGACATTCCCAAGCAAGACTCATTCTTTTCCCCTTTGGTCTTGAGAAATAGAGAAGAAATCACTCCATACTAAGTAGTCTCCACCCAAAGGCTGTTTTTGCAGTAGATGAGGGCTTAGCTCCCAGCAGAACAGCATCACTGACTGTCAGGGCTGCTCCTTCCCTTGGAGCCCAGCTGTGTCACCCCCTGCTCCCCACGCTGCACCCCTGCTCAGGACCCACCTGCAGCTGGAGAACCAGCATGGCACTCTCAGGCTGGGAGAAAGGCTGGGGAGAGCACAGCCCTCCCTCAGCAGCTCCCAGGGAGCGAGGTACGAGCAAGGCTGAAGCCAGAGGGAGAGTGAAGGCACAAACAGGAACCAGCCCGGATCAACAACAGGACAAGGGGACATCACCACTGCTCCAGGGCCCCAGACTCTCCCAAAGAACCAAGCCAGCAGGACCAAGGATTGTGAAGCACTTTATACACCACCACATAGGTAAAAATAGCACTTAAACTTACAAATAAATAGAGGGGATGGGGACTCTCCCCCTTGTCCTTTCCAAGTTTGTCCCCAGTGTGGTCTCTCACCACCTCAGGGGGGCAGCCAGAGGCTGGTGCCCTGGGGAAGCCTGTGTTAAATTTGGAGAGGGAGGAAGTGAGTGAGTGCAATCCCTCCTTACACAGGGCTGAGCTGAAGCCCACATGAGCACACAAATATCTGTTGGCATTGTGGATGGTCCTGTTTGGGAGCAGCTCCCATGGACCTGCACCCCAGAGGAGCTTCAACCTTCAGCCGTGCCACACAGTGACCACAGAGCCTGCACAGAGAGCCCAGCAGTGCCAGCAGCTCCTGGCTGATCCTCAGGGACCAGCACAGTCATTTACAGCCAGAGGACACCATCAGCACTAACTCTGAACCTGCTCTGACCCCTCTGCTCCTGTGCTGCATTGTCTCCTGAGCTGAACAGGGAAAGGCCCAGGTCTGAGCTGCTCTCAGGGGATGGTCCCTGGGCAGAGGCAGGAGCCAGAGACTCTTCCAGCCTGGCAGCTTTGGATCTGATCAACAGAACCAAAAACATGGGGACTGACTCCCAGGGGATCCCACTCTGTGCAGAGCCAAAGGGAGGTGGAAACAGAGATGTCTCTGCTGCAGGTGAAGGCAGCTGGCCACGAGTCACTAGGAGACCCAAACAGGAAAATAAATTACAAACCAGCATGGGCCCTCCCTCTTGCAGGTGCCCAGGGAAGCCCACAGGGTCTGCAGACATGACTTCAGAGACCATCCAGCCAACAGGAGCATTTTGGGAAACACCAGCCCCAAATTCTTCAAACCAGCAGTGAGGTACTCACTGTTGAGGGCTGTAACAAACAAAAACTCCCTCTGGGACTTTCCAAAATCACTTAGAAGATGAATACTCAGCCAGGAGGGTTTCGGAGACCACTCCTACAACCCCTTGGGAAACTCCCAGAGCTAGGCAGAGATGTGCCAATCTTCCTGGTGATTTGTAAGAGCTGAAGAAACACTTCTACAAGGCAAGATGGAATTCTACATGAATTACTTCCAGCCAGTTCCATGCTATGCCCTGCCTCCTGCTACCATGAGCAGATTTCTGCTGTGATTTCTGACCTGTTTTACTTCTCCTTCCTCTCCCATCCCCCTTGAAGGACAAGAGATCACCAATTCTGCATCAGGTGAGAAGGGTCAGGTGTTCAATGTCACCTCCTCATGGCAAAATCACAGTCCTGAAGCTCAGGTCTTTCCCAGGCTGCTTCTGGCTGCCCATCCTTCAGAGAAGCAGGAGTCTGGCAACCCACCAAGAAGAAGTGACACAACTTTGTGGGAAATCAGGGCAAAAAGCAACAGAGCTGATGTGCCCTCATGTTCACCTGCTGGGGGTCTGGCTCAGATCTCCTCTCCCATCTTGTCCTGTCACAGATGTCCCATCATAGCAGAAGGCTGGAGGAGGTGGCACTAACTGGGAGAAGCCTGGAGAAATATTGCTGTGACTGTTCCCT